AAGCAGCAATCGAACTCTGCACCTGCTGAAGGATATAATTCAGTTCTCACTGAGGGAAATAGTAAAACTCTCATTTAAAAGGATAACTGCTCCTACCCCAGACATTGCTGTCTGCCTGTGGGTGCAGTGATCCCTGCTTGGGCTGCCCACCCTCCCCTCCCCACTCCATGCAGTGTCCAGAGCCAGGGGGATCATGTTCCAACCTTGCCACTTTCCCAGCATATCCTTCCCCAATGGAAAAATGCACCCATGTGTGCCAGCAGCATGCACTAGCACTGCAGAGCATGTGGGATTATGTTATAAATAAATATACCTGGAGCTGCAGGCTGTGCATGTTCCATGGGAATGGACTGGGCACTCAACCCGCTATCATGACCCTAAGAGCCACGTGTGGAGAAGGGACAGGGGGCTGCAGGATCCAGGACAAGTGTTCCAGCACCTGTCCCACAGTGGCAGGAGAGGGACTGCGTGGGAAGAGGCAGAAGAAATATCAGAACCCAGTTAAAAGGTCAGCCAGGCTCTCTCAACCCTGTGTCCTCCCCCAGTGAGGAAGTGATAAACTCCTTTACATCATAACCTGTCAAAAATATAAACATAATGTATCAGCCCGGATGTGTCAACTAAAGCCAGGGAGAAAAATGTCTCTGGGACACGGCCAGACTCCAGGGAGTGCCTGGCTGCAGTGCCTGAGTCATGCTTGCACATTGCAGCACACATATTTCACTGCAGTCCAGCTGTCAGGTTTTGTGTTTATCGTGCCTCACGTCACCCAGATGGGGTGATGGCATGGCCAGGATGGAGTTATGGCATTGCCAAGCGTGTTTCCATGGTCTGGCAGGCTGGCCTGGCACTGAGGGTGAGTGGTGGCACAGCTCACACCATCCTGGGTCAAGAGCTGACTGAAGCAGGGTCTTACATTTACACTTGAGGGTCCAGAAAACTGACACAGTAGAGAGAAATAATAAAAGAAAAATCATCATGAACAAGGATGATGCAGAGCTCAAAGTATGAGATGTGAAATTGTTTGTGAAATTGCCCACAAGACAGAGGAAGACAGAAAAAGGTGGAAAAACTTCTCTTGACTTTGGTTGGTTAGAAAGGAGGTGAAGAACTCAACTGTTGATTCATTAAGGTTTCCTCCAGCATCTCTCATTGGTTTTGTACCTGCCCTTTCTGCTCAAATCTCCTTCAAAGTCCCCAGCAGGAGTATGGGAAAAACCCTTTGTGAAAATTCACCCTAAGAGCATCATTTTGTGGGTTATTCTCATTTCCACTGGAGCTCCCACCAGCAGAACTATTGCTGGACCCTTCACCTCGAGGGACATGTGAAGCCCACTTGTGGTCCAGCAAAATTGCTGGAAAAATTTGGAATGGCAAAGAGATCCTGATCTGACTTTTCTCCTTTTTGTTTTTTAAAGGTAGTTGTTTGGCAAGGAGGGGCTGTGCACACCTGGAAGCAGAAACACCAGAGCTGCTGGGAGACAAAGGCAAAGAGAGGAAGCAAAAGGCTGAGATGAGGATGGAACACCAGAGACAGCCCCATCCTGGCATGCCAGTAGGCAACTAAATAATTGAAACAGTATTTGCTGTCAAGTTTCCATGTTTTCATAGTGTCCCTTATGAAAAACACTGCACATTATGATGCCATAAATCCTTATTATCTACATCTTCACAACCAGAAGCTTCCCATTACCCAAAAGAAGGGTGAATCCCATGAGACACATTAATGGTGTTGAAAACTCCTCCTGTTATCTTATACCTTGATTAATCAGCCTTATTTAGTACATGATAGTGGGATAATTGAAGCTGTCCCCCTATTTTTTTTAAAAGTGCAATAAGCACTTCAGCATCTGCAGCTCCATTTTCTCATTGCACAGATATTGATGCTTCCTGGAAATCCTTGTGAAATCCTCTGCCTGGGGACGGTTCCACTGCTCTATATTTTCGGGGCACGTTAGCTGGGGGTTCCTGTTTGTAGCATTTTTAGCAGGAGAGCAGGATTGCTGCTTCTCACCAACCCATCTGTTCCTGCTGCTCATTCACAACCTGCAGCCACAGTCTCCTGTCATCTCCCTGTCTCCTTGGAAAATAATAACTGTGGGAGGACAATGTAATGGATTGTTCACTGGCGTATTCCTAGATATTAAAAGTACGATTTGGGGGTTGGTTCCAGAAAAATGGAAAATTGTTTTATATGAGTTTAACATAATTATGAGCAAATCAGGCCTGATTCTCATCTCACTTGGGTCTACATTCACTCACAGCTCGTGGAGCTGGCTGGTATTTTTGGAATGTGAAGTCTTCTGTGACATTTTTTACAACAGAGGTAATTTGGAGAGAAAAATTCTGTCATTTTTCTGGGCTTTTTTTCCTGCTTCCATTTTGCCTTTTTTTTTTAGTTATTTCAGTAAACACATGCAAAAAAAAAAAAAAAATCTTGCAAGAATTTTCCACAAAGAGAACCACATTTTGTGTTTTCTTGAAAGCATATTGTCAGGCAACAGAGGAACACAACAGAGGCAATTTGGACTGAGGGAGTTGTTGCCCAGATAGTTTTATGTCCTCTAAAGCTGCCTTTGTCCCCCTGTATCGTCAGGGTCCATCAGATTCTGCTGCTCCAACTGACTGCCAAGGGAAGCTGCGAAAAAATTTTTGCCAATGATGCTTTGCATGAGAAAAAAAAAAAAAAAAAAGGAATTTCAGCAATTATTATTTTGGCGTTATTAAAAATAGGCTTTGGATAAAATACTTAGAACTAAGCTGCAATACTGTGAGCCAGACGGAAAGGATCCTCTCTCCTTCCCACTGCTCTTTTTCTCCACTCTGAAAGTCAAGATGAACAAATTTCCTCTTTATTTCCCAGACAGTATTCTCTCTTGGAGTAAAGATATAAGAGATCACAGGAAGGTAAAAAGGTCCTTTTCAAAATTGCTTTGGCTTTTCCTAATGTTTTATAGTCTGCAATTAACATCATTGGCCAGTGTCCCCTGAGGCCTCAGGAAATGCAATGACAGCACCAATGATGTCCATGACTGATGGACTTTTTGGCAGATGCTTTTAAGCACCAAAGCCTGGCTATTGTGAGCCCAAATGTGTGTAAACAGTGGTCCCCATGAGCTCACACAGCCCTAACCAGAGCCCAGCATCCCAATGCTTGCTTGGGAGTGCCTCCAGCACTTCAGAACCTCATGTGGGGAAAGAAAAACCCTTCCTGGTGATGGCACCTCCCCTCTTCTTGTCATCTTTATTCTCTCATATTATTAAAAAGAAAAATGTTTTCAAAATCCCCCATCCTTTTCCAGCAGACTCCAGGAGGTGGGGGCCCAGAGCACAAATCCTGTTTCTGGGATCACACAAGCCATAGGTGCTGCTGCAGCTCAGGCAGGTTTAGGGCAGTAGGATGAGCACTGAGTCCCAGGTGAGGCTGGTTGTGGCTCCCTGGATGTGCTCAGGCCACTCAGCTCCTGTTTTAGAGGTGGTGATTTATGCCCTGATGATCATCTCCGCATGCTGAGTTATTTACAACTGATTTTTCCGGGAAAAAAAGGTACCTCAGCCCCTAATAGGTGCATTGCTTTGGGCTAAGCATGTGGGCACTGGGGACAGAAAACAGCCAGGGGAACACACCAGCCATTCAGTGTGTCTCAGGACTTCAGGCTGAGGACAAAAAAAAAAACCCTGCATCACCAGAGCTCACTGCTAAATGATAACTTAAGCCAATTATACATGCCTCATTCATCTTTTAGATAAGAAGCAGAGAGAAATAGTTTTTCTATTTCCATAATCATGCCACTAACTAGACAAAACGTGATAATCCATAATGAGCTAGGAAGAGAATTAAATGGAGAACAGGGTCTTTTGATGACTTGCCAGTTTTCTCTAGCATCACTCATGCAGGTTATTGACACAGCACCAATTTTTCATCCTTGCTTTAACAGGACTCCCATTATTACAGTTGAAAAATGGCAGGCACAAATGTTTGCAGGCACATTTTGGTACCTTAATTTAAGATTTCCTCAGATTTACAAGTTCTTAATTGTACCTACAAGCCAGGTGCCCAGGAAATAATGTCGTGTGCAAACAGCTGCAAATACTATTTCTGTGTGATTGGGAGCTGGTCTCCAACTCTGGCCCTCAATAACCACAAAGTGGTTTTCCTCCTCATGAAACACACTTTGTCACCCTTATTGGCCAGCAATGAACTGGAAATAAATTTCTGAGATGCCAACTCCAGGCGAGAATTTGAGATTATTTTAAAAAGTGTCTGGGAAGATAAAGCCAAAAATTTTGTGAGGAGATTTGTGGAGGAAAATACAGCTTAGTCTGAGTTCTCTAAAACTTTGGGGGAAAAATTAAAAATATTGTGATTCCTGGAATGACTTGGACTGCTGTGTTTTCATCTCTGCAAGAGCATGCATCTTGGACACTTCAAAAAGTCTTTTTTTTTTGGGTTTTCTTTCTCCCAGCCCTTTCCTTTGAGCCCAGACATCCTCAGACCTGGCAGAACAGCCAAGGTATGCAGCCATGTGCTGAATACCATGTTGCCAATAATACAGCAATTTTATCTCTCTCTGAACATCAGAACTTTTTTCCAATAAAATGGTAATTTCATTCTAAAAAGACTTCTCCAGCTTTCACATTCATAAAAAAAAATAAAAAAAAAAGAAAAAGAAAAAAGAAAAAAGACTTGCAAGGATTAAGGAAGAACCTCAAATTTATTATTTCCATTAGACCTGCCACAGTTCTTTAAAGGATTCCTTTCTCTGGATGTTGAAGTGCTCCTGCTGGGTGCTGCAGGGCTGGACACCCTTGTGGCCATCGGGTCCCACAGCAGGAGGGACCACAGTGCTCCCCTGTGCCACCCTGGGGACTTCTAACAGAGCCACTGTGGTGCTCCAGCCCAAAAATGCATCACCCCAGCGGCCCCCAGGCAGGGAACATGATGGAAGGTGACTCCATGAGCATCCTCCTCAGATCTTTCTTCATTCTTCTCTTTTTTCTTTTTTCAGTTTCTCAGCTCACTCGATTTGAGGTTGGGATGCACAGTCTGGTAAATATGACAGCAACAAGGGACTTTAAAGTCTTTTCCTGGTCATTACTTATTGATTGCCTTACAGAAAACTCCACTGGGACTGAAAGGGGGACTGAAATTCATTCTGAAAAGCATTAATCCCTCTTTCTTAATCAGACTGAGTTAGATTTTTCAGTTTTTTCAAGGTAGAAGCTCCAGGGGTAGAGTTTTCCTCAGCTGAAACATCTCAGCTGAAGAGATGGGACAAATGGGAAAAAACCTTTCCAGTTTTTTTGTTTGTTTTTTTTTTATTTTTTTTTTCTGACTGTTCCCAGAGGGTCCCCTTGCTTTCCCCAGCACTGAAGCTCTCATTGCTGAGAGGGGGGACAGGTTTACAGGTTTTATATGAATTAAAATGAGAGCTTGTGCCCATCAGAGACCAGGTCAGCATCAATTTGCAGTTTGTACAAATTAATACTATATCATAAGAAAATTCAATACAGCAGCTTTTGTGTAAAACCACCCCAGGGTGCTTTGCAAATAAAACACACTAAAATGCCATGTGCAAGGTCTGCTCTCCACCAAATGATAAATATTGATGCCCCAAACAGAAGGGATATTTATGCTTAAACCTGCAAGCATTTATTGATTTTTATTCCATCCTGACTGTGGTTGAAATACAGGTTGAAAGAACAGCCCCACACCAGCGGGGTGTCCCCCAGCCCAGGGGACACCCTTTGGCTGGGGACACAAAACGTGCTTTAAAGCTCTGACAGCACTGTGAGCATCTTGTGTGAACATCTGTATTTTAAAGATCACACACTGCTGTGTAATGCTCATCAAATATCTGCTGTGAGGGTGGGGAGCCCTGGTACAGGGTGCCCAGAGCAGCTGTGGCTGCCCCATCCCTGGAAGTGTCCCAGGCCAGGTTGGATGGGGCTTGGAGCAACCTGGGATAGTGGAAAGTGTCCCTGCCCATGGCAGGGGGTTGGAACTAATGATCTACAGCCCAAACCATTCTATGATTCGATGAAAATGACTTTCCATCACCCAAGTGTTGGAGGGGAGAGGGGATGCCCACAGGGCTGCTGGCACAGGTGGCCCCCACGCTGCTGGGGACAGAGGTTTCTCTGGCACACCTGAACATACCAGCCTTGAGACAGCCTCCTCTAGCAGGCTGGAAAAGCATGCAAATCAGAGCAATAAATAGATCAGGAGTGATAAGAAATGCGGAGGAGGAGGCAAGAAAGGAGCCTGACAAAGTTCAGGTCCAGTGCAGGGTGGGCATTTCCTGTATCAGGATAGCAGATTACACCCAGGCTCTTTGCAATGCCTTGCTCACTTTTCCCATCCAAGCCTGGTACACAGTAGGGTTGACTTTTTTTTCCCCCCTCATCTGCACACCTTCAGTACAGGGAAGAAATGATTGCCATTTTGGGAGAGCAAATCAGCTCTACCTGCCATGGAGCAGGCAGAGATTTACCACCGTCATTTAGCACACCACTCATAGATTAAAGGGGCTTGTCCTTTTCACTTCACTTTATTTATGATTTTCAAACAATAAAGCATTCAGGGAGAAATTATGGCTCTGTTAAGCCATAGGTGTGTCCATGTTCATCCCCCATAAATGTACCTGAGGGCTGGAAGTTCATCAGTTCGAATTCAGGAATGAATCAGAACTGAGCCAAGCAAATATTGGACCTAGACCAGCTTGGGCTTACACCAGCTTTACAAAAACCCTTTTGCTTTCAGACTTCAGGCAAGGTGCAGCTGTTTGTGCTCCAGTCTGGGCTTCACACAACCCATTGTTGCCCAAACGTTTATGAATGTTAATGAAAATTTAGTGAGGGTGTATTTTTCAAGGCTGTTTTTCCACATGGCTGAGTCCCTGCGCAGCACTGGGGGTGTGCAGGAGGGAGCCACTGCAGGGACACATCTTTAGGGCCCAGAGCAGTCTAACACATAGGAGCTGGCACAATTTGAAACCCAACAGTCAGCCCAGCTAAGGAGAGCTTGGAGTTTAGCACCACGTTAATGAATATAACATTTAAAAACAGTTTTCCTCAGCTCAGACCTGCACCTCGCCTGCTCACCTGGGTTTCCCTCCCACACCCCAAGTGGTGGCAGTGCCTGGGCCACACCATGTAGCACTGACCAAACTCACCCCAGTGCTGCCAAGCCACAGCCAAAAGGACACAGCCTTGCCCTCACCTGCAGGGGAGGTTTAGGAAGCCAGAAGTTGATATTTTTTCCACTACTTGTTTTCTTCCAGCAGACATTGGATTCCCAGGGACCCTCCCTCTTCAATACTCACATCACTGTTTTTAGAGGGCTGGACCAATCCTGACTGCCAGTTCCCTCCTCTCACTGCCTAACACTCCCTTCCCCCTTTTGCCATGGACAATCCCATGCCTTATGTGTGTTTAATCCCACCACTAGAAACTCATTCTCTTAGGAATGGTGTATCTGTCAAAAAAAAGAGAAGAAATAAAATAATGTGACAGGTTAAAAAGTGGATGGACTCATCACATTACTGACACAAAGGTGAGCAGGAGCTGGCACCCAAATATGCAAACAGCACACAGCCCTCAATATCCTAATGTATTTTAGAGTGGTCATTTCTAATTAGCTCTTGAATCCAACACCCTACTTAGCCTAATTAGAGACATAACAAAAAACTGAGCTCACATGCACATTGAATATGCAGATCTCTAATATCCAGCACTGCCCTGCTCCAAAGACCAACAGCAAGCAAAGCCTCTCAACATCCAGCATGGATGGAAAACTGGTCCCAGCATGGCCCTAAACTGGTCCCAGGAAGCCAATATGTTGAAAATCTGCACCATTAACTCCATTAAAATGCTTTAAATGTGAATCTGAAAGGTTTTGATGAGAATTATGTTATTGGGGGAAAAGAAGGCAAACCCACGGTTTAGGAGATACTGCATTTATATTTTGCATCTTAATCCAGAAGATTTTACAGTCTAATTTAAACCAGGAAACAGAAGGAAGATAGATGAGGAGGAGGACTAGCAGGGGAGAATCATAAAATGGTTTAGGCTGGAAAGGCTGTTTAAAGGCCATCTAGTCCAACCCCCTGCAACAATCAGGCACATCTTCCATTAGACCAGTTTGCTCAGACCCCTGTCCAACCTGACCTCGAATGTTTCCAGGGATGGGTCAGCCACGACCTCTCTAGGCAACCTATGTCAGTGTTTCACCACTTTCATTGCAAAAAAACTTCTCTGTGATCTTTTTTTTAGGGTAAAACCATCCTCACCCCATCCTATCCCAGCTTGCCCTGGTAGGAAGGCTGTCCCCAGGTGCCTGTGCCAGGGCACCAGGAGGGTTACAGGCACCCTCGCAGATCTACCAGGCCAGACAAAATGGGCATCATCTCCAGAGCAGGCTGGTTCCAAGGGAAAACACCCCTGCACATCCACAAGGCACCAAAAAAACACAGACAAACTGCTCTGCCCCGTGTGCACATGCCTCATTTTCAGGGATGGATTTGGCCATGCCGAGGGAGGATTTCACTGTGGATGGACAGAAGGGGTGCCACCAGCTCCATGGAAACCCGGCCAGATGGGCCTGGTGGCCGTGCCCAGGCTCAGCAGCAGCGACACCGCCAAAAACACGAGCACTGTTAATATTGAACACGGAGCAGGGACGTGGTAAAACCTAGCAACCCCTCGGCAGTGGTTATGCAATTCACCTTTAATCGCTCGGAGGGAGCCGGCATCGTCTCAACACCTCCCCTCCCCCGTTTCTATATGTGAGGGCTTTTTCTTCCCTGTTGCTAAACCTTAAAGTGAGAGGAAACAAAGAAATCACTATTGCATAATACAGACCTACAGGCAAGTCGTATTCCTGCTGTTTTGGAAACATTCGGGGAGGGCAAATCGAAAGCTGAGAAGAGCCATGTGATAGAATCCTAATATTTTTCTTCTTTCTTCCATTTTCTTATTTCCCAGTTAAATACACTCACTCTCCCCCAGATCTGTTAGACCCCATTTAATACTGAGAAATCAAGGAAGTAGGGTCTTTGGCAGTGATAATTATTGTCAGTAATATCATAATTATATTCCACATATCCACAAAACGTAAGGTTATGAATTGTCACAATTGCATTGTTTCTCAAAGCAAAAATGAAATTATTGAGAGTGAGGGTTTGCTTCAGGCTTTTCCCACCCTGCATCACTGCCAGGCCAGGGTGCTCCCCATCAATCCATCTGCAGCAATCTGGGGTAACAGCAGCAGTGGTTTCCCTTGTGGAGATGCTCAGCTCCAGTGTGATGCTGGCTGCAGAGGGAATATATGTCTGGTAGCACAGCACAGCAGAGGCTGGGGGAGGATTACCTCTGTGTTTCTCAGGAGAACCCACTCTGTTTAGGTTTTGGTTTGTTTTAATGTTCCTGAACATGTTCTTGGCATGGTACAACAACTCGAGGAGGTGGATTACCCCAAAGCTGCTCAGGATCCACCAGAAGGTACCTAAAACACAGCATTTCTGTAGTCACTGGGGTGTCCCACAGGAATGCACAGATAAGAGAGGGCCTGTTGCTCCTTAGCAGAGATTCAGCCTTTCCCAGGACAGGTCTAAAGCTCTGGCTTGGTCAGTGCCAGGCAGCTGTGGTTACTGTGAGGAAACCTTGGGTTTAGGCAAGGTCAGACAGGGAGCTACAGCGGTACATGGAGGGAGGGCTGCAGTCATTTCTGGCTCTCCTGCAGGATGCTCCACCTCAGGCAGGTCAGTGCTCTGCATTTCCCATTAGCAAGACACCTCTCTTCCTGTGCCTCAGTTCTCTGAGTGAAACATGGAATCAGCATTTCCTGACTTCGTGGGGCTGTTGTGAGAATACACACAAGCATGTAAGCTCAGTGTATGAGGACACCTGAAGTTTGCACAAAATAATTTAAAACACCTCCAAACCCCAATTCTCAACTCCCAAGGAGTACAAGTACACTTTTCTTCCCACTTCATGTTTTTCCCACATGGAAGAGGGGCCTTCCATTAGCCCCTGAGCCAAAACCCTTGGAAAGACCTTGAAAACAAGATAACATATGTGGTGTGGATCCTTTTGCTCTTTTCTGTTAGCTAGCTAACCACCCTAGAAAAACAAGCCATAAATCAATTGAAAGCTTAACCTACAGTCTGCCAATCTGAAAAGCAGACACTGCCCCAGGAATGCGACCACAGCTCGCTAAAACAATAGGAACAAAGGAAAAAAAAAAAGAAAAAACCCGAAACAATTCTAACTTGCACTTAGTAATTCAGCAGAGCTGCAGAAACATCAGGCAGGCAGCGATTCCCACGAGCTCCACATCACCTTGAGCCCACAGTCTCCTCCTGAGCAGTGAGGTGCAGAGGGCTCTGGTGTCCAGGTGAAGAGGGGGTTCAGCCTCCAGCTCATCTGGAGAGAATTAAGGCAGCTCAGACGTCTCCTGTAAAGAGACTGAGGGTCCCTAATGAAATAAATTTATTCATGACACCTAAGAGCTGGCTTTTCCACTTTTCCTCTTTTGTTTTTAAGCTTTCAGTAGAATTAGGGCTCTTGTAGATTTTGGTTAAGGCATCGCTGCTTGACTTCATTTTCAGGGGTGTAAAGGCACTCTCTGCCTGCTTTGAGCAAGGCAAGAGAGGCCAGGGGCTGGCTGGGTGTTGTGGGGTGAGCTGGACACAGCCCTGGTGCCAGGGCTGCTGGCTCCCAGCGTGTCCTGGGCAGCTTCCAGCAATCCAGCAGGGCTGCCCAGGGGGACACACAGAAGGGACAGTGTGTGAGGGCTCCAGCCCTGCTCAGGGGTGATTGAATGACAAGAATTACAGCCCAGCTTGACATCTGCCCTCGAGCAGGCTGAGGGTTGGTGCCGTAGGACAGTCTGCTATTTTCTTGTTTCCTGGCATGAAGAGGAGCCATCAGAGGGATGGTTCTCCTCAGAGACACAAAATCATCTTTACATAAACACCAAGACTTTCAAGGGCTGGGAGCCTCTAGATCATCTGCAATACTCAAAGCACTTTTATGACCAATGCAGCAAAGCAAACAAAATGCCCTTTTTTAAAATGCGATTTTGTCATCAGTGAGGTTAATGTATCAAATCAGGACCAGTCTTCAGAACAAAATCCTGCTCAAAAGACTAGAAATTAAGGGAATAAGGAAAGAAACCTAATGAGATTGTGAACTCAAAGTGAATTTATGAGCCCTGACCACAAAGCAGTATGGAACAGTAGCAAGACACTCATTAACAGCTTGCAGTTGCTAATGGATGACTAAGAGAGAAAGTTTGCTGTAAATAAATGCTACTATTGCTTCAGGACTTCTGATTTTGTAACTGGGGCACTTGTAAATCAACATCAGAGCACTGCAAGCCATGGGATACCTGCTCCCAGATCAGGCCAGCTGGAAATGAAGCCAAAACCAACAAGTTTCCCAGACTGGGGGTTGCAGGAGCTGTCTGGGGGAAACAGTGCCTGATGCTCCAGGCTGCCCTGTGGAGTCCTTTCATTATTTAGGCAGAAGAAAAAAAATCACCCCTTTCTCCCCTCAATTGCACTAAAAACCAACCCTCAGTCAGCCAGAGAAGTGGCCTGTATTTTTAATACCTTTTTTTTTGCACTTCATTACTGAGGGCCTCGAGCAAACTCTGTCATCAGCGATGACATAAGGAATAGAAGCAGTTGCAGGGCAGTAGAAGTGAAGGGGAAATTAAGCCATTTAACACATGGGCAGGAGACGTGTGTTTGGGTCGAGGCTGGGATTTTTTTCTAATTAAAAACCTGGAGAAAATCTCCTTGTCTCTAATGGAATAAGCACCAAGGCAACTTTATCTGGCCCACGGACTCCCCCCGCTACCGCTGTCTGCTGTAAGAAAAGCAGGAGGGAGGAGTGGGCGAGTCTGATTTCTATGTAAAGATTGTACAGCCAGACCTGCCCTGGAGCTGCAAAGCAACCAGACACTGGAATCCAGCCAGTTTTGTGTCGTTTCTGCAGGGCTGGCCAAATGTGCTACTGCTATTTTGGCTCCATCCGCTTCTTTCCCCTTTTCTAGCCTAATTGCTGTGGCTCCTTGATTTCTGCTTAATGGAAAGGGTTAAATAGTTTATTATACTGGAATTTGATTTGCAGAAAAAAGCTTTGATGTTTTCATGTTGCTTTTGATTGGCAAAGCAATTGTGATTTCTGCTGCCATGGTTAATATTTGGAAATAACCTTTAACTGTTTATGCAAACACAGCTTGCCCTGTCCTTTCCTGTGAATTACTGAAGTCTGTGGAATTAACCCTCACTGCTTCTCTGTGAATCTTCACCACACTTTCTGCTCTGCTTTTCTTATGGGCTGATGGAACGTTTTTACATGTCAGGTGAGGCTGGAGATAAAGCGTAAGAAATGCTGGGCTGCTGGTGTGAAATTATTCCTCGATCCTTAGTCTGAGGGGACTCACAGAATTATTCAAAAATAGAGGAGGAGCAGTCTTGTGAACACAGGAATGAGATTCCTGTTCCCATCTAGGAGAAAAGTGCCCTGACCACACCAGAGTGTGGAAATTCGAGTGCTTGGCTGGTTGTGCTAATTATCTCCCATGGCAGTGGTGATGCCAACCTACGAGGAAACCACAGTGATTTGACAGCAGGGATTTTTACTTCCATGAATTTATTGTCCTTTTGTTTGGAGACATGTCAGTGCTGGGTATGGAAACCAGGGCTCTCACCCTGGTTTAGATAACACAGAATCTGTAGCACAGTGTCCACTGCCTCACTGAGGAGCAGGGAAAACCCCTCCTGTTCAGTAGGATGGAAAATTCCTCCATGCTCAGATAAGGGATTTGGAAAACAACTGCTTTCAGCAGGCTTTAAGAGGTAACACTCCTATTTCATGTCATCCTATACCACACTTCCCACCTGAAAAGGCGTCATCCTCAAAAGCAGGCACTAGAAACTTCTTTAAGGACCTTTTAATTGTGGTGTTGGTTAATACAGAAGGCTGTAAGATGTACAAGATGGAAAGGAAGAATTAGAGATCAGTTGAAACCTTCCACAGCAGAGATGCTACAGCTCAACACTCACAGGCTGAAAGACACCTTGTTTGGAAGCAGAACAGGACCACATTTTCTTCCTCAAGTTATCAGCTAGCCTGACTGGCCTAAATATTCCTTTTAGAATATGTTGGTAATAAAACCTTTGAAGCTGGTGTGGGATTAACTCTGGATGTTGCTTTGAAATCTGACATTGTGATAGGGAAAATCAGAAATGCGTGGTAGGGTTGGCAGGGAAGCTGTTTGCAGCCCTGCTCAGGAAAGAGTGGGGCTGGAAAATGCACCTCTTTCACAGGCAAGATATCATGCTGGGTCATTGCAAAAGCTCATTTATATCCTCTCTTTTTCAATGTCCTGCACTGGGTGGCTTAGAAAGAGCATTAGGACAATGCAAAAGTGATCAGACAGCATCTTCCCAACTGCTGGTGACCTCTGGCATTTAATTTTAATCAGCCTTACTGGACCATTTTTCAAGAATTCTACAGCTTTTTGAATTAATTTGTGTTTCTGGTATCCATAACATCTTGTGACACTCACAGGTGGTTTCCAAGGTGTCACTGAAGATGAATAGAGACATAGGCCAGTTCTGTTTTGGTAACATTGAGCAAGTCCTTGCAAATACTTTTCCACCTTAACCGGAGAAGAGACATCAAGTGGGATCTGGCTGGACCCCAAAACAAATAAATAGTGCTGATGTTCAGAAAGGAAACACCAGTTGTCCTTAAATAGTCAAGCATTGTTCTCTGACTTCCTGCAATAATCTCTGCCTTTTTACCCAAAAAGATTCCTAACTGTGTGGGTCCAATACTTCTCTAGTGTCTGCCCGCTGTGTGTTTGCAACATTTGTGATTTTTATCCTTTTTCTTTGAACAATCCTGTGCCTAATACATGGCACGTGGCATTTGGTGGCTCTGGAGGGTATGGAGTGGATATTCCATGTCACCTCCAGGATAAAATATCCATGAGGTGATACCTGTCTCTAAAGTTTGGTGTCACCAGTCTGGTGAGTGCCAGGGAGACACAGGAAATAAAGAGCTGCCCCAGGAATGGGGCCCAGGGGAATGTGTGGCCACATCAACAGTGACTGATGGGATGGTGAGGACAACTGGGGACTTCTCTCTTTAATCAGCAGTGCCTGAGCACTCACAGCAGCCACTCTTGGGGAAATCTAGGTGATAAAACCGTGGAGGTGTGATTAAGAGGGCAGAGCAGCCCAGAAACACTTGGAGCGAGGTCCAGCGTGGCTGGGCATGGAGGCTTCAGCTGAAGGTGACCTGCAAAAGCTGCTCAAAAGCTTCAGAGCTTTTTAAAATAGGGAATATTGCTGTGGCTGGAGGATGGGGCTGGCAGATCTTGTACCTGATGAGAAGATGTTGCCAGCAAAGGGGAGGCTGAGCCATGGCTGGAGACACCATGATGATGGGAGATGATGGTCTGGAACCTGCCAGGGTGAGCATCCAGCACCACAGCACAGTATTCATTGTTCTCTAGAGCTGTCTGGGAGAGAGGAGAAAAAACAAAGTAAAGCAAGAGGGAATCCTGTGTTCCAATCTGCCACCTGTATTTTTCTCCTAGGAATTGTGGCGTATTTTCCCATTTTAATTATCCTCTTTCCATCTAGATCTTGTTCTTCTGTAAATTAGTGACTGGCATAAAAAGGGGAGGTGACAGACACAACCCAATTAACTTTTGCTGGTGATTCATCCTTAAAAGTCTCTGCACATTCACAGGGCTGTGATGGGACATAGGCATGGAATCCTCTCCCCAACACCTGGTTTGTGGCACCTGATCCCTTGCTGAAGAAGAGTTCATCCTGCACATTTCATTTCTGCTGAGGAGCACTGACCCAAACCTGTCCTGTGAGATATCACAGGACCTGTGATATCTGGTTCTCCTCAGTTTTGAAGAACTTCCCTGTGTGGAGTCCAGGGACACAGGCAGTGGCAGGTAACAATGGATGTGCATTACTGATAAACTGAAGAATCTGCCACCGAAATATATTTGGAGGCTAATTTGACATTTTACTGATGGGTTGTCCAACCTGCATATTTTATTTAAGTTATGCTTACAAATACACCATGACCTCTGAACACTTCAGTAATGGGTTTGAGCCAGGAGTGAGTTTTGTTTCGCTGAAGTAATTATTTATTCACTTAATGGGGACTGATGGTTCTGCTCAGCTGGGAGCTGTACATAATTAAAACCATGGTCCCTGCCCCAAGAGGCTTCCAGTCTGAAAGATGAAGCAAAAGCTGTGCCAGCAGAAATTGCAGGAGTCCTGTGTGCTCAAGACTGCAGGTTCAAAAAATTACATTTAAAAAAGAGAACCCAAATGTCAGCTCTTCTCATACAACTTGAGACAGGGCATTTGGAGCTAGCATGTATTTAACAGAGGTTTCTGCTTGTATGGCTGCAACACTGAGAAAGAGATGATTGCTATAGGTCAGAGGTGCTCCCAAGAGCTGTAAGATAAATTCAAAATTGGAGAAAAAAAATGTGTATATATATATATATATATATATATACATTTCCCAAACCAGAGCTGCCCCCCTTAAACCTGGCCCAGGAAAGTGTGGGAGCCAGTGCCAGACACCTTGCCCCAGGCAGAGCAGTGTTGATCAAAGAGACCTGGGCCAGAGCAATCCTGACATACAGCTGTTCTGCAGCTGCCAGGAGCTTTCACTAATTATATAAATTGGCTTAATAAAAGCTGTTACTTCTCCATACAAATCTTGTGTCTCTTTGAATAGGTTGGCACATTTCCTAATAGAACCAGAAACTGCTTCTTAAACAGAAATTTGACCATTATTGTTATTAAAATAGGAAAGGAAATGGAGGCTCGTTCACAACAAAGTGATATTTATTGCTCAGTTTAATTGCCTAACCTAAAGCACATGACTGGGGATTTGAAGGGGCTGATTTGCAGTTTGGTCATCCTTTGAAACAAAGCACTCAGGGTGAAATTGCATGTTGGAGCTCACTGACTGAAAAGGCTCAGGCAGCTGAGAGAGGAGCAGAACTGTTACCTAAGCACCAGCAAGACTCCTCAAACATCTCACACTGGGACTTCATGGCTCAGTCTCTGGGACATGTGCAGGTTTTATGGCATTAAGACACAAAGGGAATAACTCAAAAAGCATTTTCTGCCCAGCCCCTCCACAGCAAGCACTGAACCCAACATTTTCCAGGAGTGATTCAGCAGCATTCTGCAGGGGGTGGGAGCTGCCCTGCTCCAAGGTCTGTCAACTTGCCATAAATCCAGCATGATGGCAATGAAATGATTTTTCTTCTGGATGCCTGGAAAGCTGCTTTCAGAAGTGGCTATACGGACAGCATGCCCTCAGGGGCTGGGAAGGTTTGACTCTTGGGCACAGGAGCTCGTGGCTGTGGGAATTCACCAGAGGGACACCCTCTGCCCACAGTGATGACCAGGAAAGATGCCCATGTGAACCAGAACCCCATACTTCAAACAAAAAAAAATCTAAAGTCCTTTTCCTATCATTGAGAGCAAGGATTTTCCCTAAAGTCTCCCTGAATGTCACCAATATCCTGCCATGCCAAGGGCTCACAGGACAGCTCCTCTGCAGCCAGGTGGGTGGGACCCGAGGGCTTTCCAACAGCACCGTGGTTTTCCTTAAGTGGCATCTTGTTTATTATAATGTAACTGTGAGGCTCTGAGCTATTCCCATAGCACTTTTAGTAATCAGCCCTGGTATGTTGAAGGGCATATTTGTCATGTCTCAGCCAGTCTCTCAGAGAAACAGTCACGGGTCATGTTAGTTACCTAATTTATATGTCAGGGCTGGAGGAATGAATCAACAGCATTTTTTTGTATTTTTCCAGACAGTAGCTTGATATTCCCGGCATGCTGAACCCTAGGAGTTCCCTTGCTTTTGTGATCATTTGCAGTCCCTCCTCATTTGGCTGATGTGGCAGTAATTCAAGCAGAAAAATGTGCTATGAGCACAGAGAGACAGCATCTCCCTCCCAGCTGACCCTCCAGGGCAGCTCCTGTGTGTGCAGCCCGTGCTGTGAGAGTGTCCAGGCTCCACTTTGGGGGATCATCCCAAAGGCCAGGAGCAGCACCCCGTTCCCATGCAGAGAGGGGTTATGGAGTGGGCAGAAGCAGTGCTGGGAGGCTCTGTCAGCTCACTCTGCTGCTGCACACACAGCCATGGTGCAATTCCTTCAGTGCAAATGCCACTCCTGTGCTTGAAACAGGTGAGGAAATTTTGGCCATGGAAAACAGAATCTGCCAGACCTGCACCATGCTGCCAGGGCAGTGGTGGGGTCACCGTCCCTGGAGGTGCTCAGATGTGTACATGTGGCACTGGGGGACACAGCTTAGTGGTGGGCTTGGCAGTGGGGCTGGGTTAATGGTGGGAGTCGATGATCTCAGAGGTCTTTTTCCAATATTAATGATTCCATGATCCTTATTCCATTAGAGCTCTCAGGGGGTGGCCACAATGAAAGCAGGGAGCTGAGGCAAGAGGCCAACACATCCAGCCCATCCCAGTGCTGGGGCCAGGGGCTGCCCAGCACTTCCACATGGATATTCATGCTGGGACTGAACACAATCCCATCTGAGAGGCAGGTCCTCTCCAGCACTGAATCTGGGTTTGTTTATTCCTATCTGGCCATGTCTGGGGAGATGGATATAGGAAACTGCTCCTGATGGAAGCAATATCTGCAACACAAAGCAGTGGCTGTGCAATTCCCTAAATCCCACGGGATCCCTGTACATCCACCAGGGAAGGGGACCCTGGCTGCAGTCTGCAAAGCAAAGAGCAAATGTCTCAGTGCCCCTGGGGCTTGAGACAGCTTTGCCCAGGCTCAGGGCTGTGGGGTGACCCAGGGCTCCCCACACTGCTTTAGGGGTGTCCCTGCATTCCCAGAGGGCTTAACCTGGGATGTGAGGAGGGGAGCAGGGCAGGGATCACAAAGCCTAGAGGAAGATGTTTTACAAAGATCCGGTTTGCTCCAGGCTGGCGGTGAAATAAAGCACAAGGCTGTGTCCCCAGGGGCCGTGGGAAACACGGGCAGGTGGGGAGGGGAGAAATAAATCCCAACAGGCACAGCCTGCCTAATGGGGAAACGCAGAGGAGCAAATTATTACCTTGGGGCTTTTTTTGGTATTTTTGGGGGGGTTTTTTGGGGTTTTTTTTTTGTTTGTTTTTGTTTTTTTGTTTTTTTTTTGCAAGACGAAAGATCACCCATTAACTGTTTCTGGAAAATGCTTTCCAAAGCCTTTTGTGCAGTAATTTTTCTTAGAAGGGCTGTCCCAGCTCCCCAGGCATCCCGGGCGCTGCCAGGGGAACGCCCCTGAACTTGAACTCGTTTATTTAGCTTCGACTTTTCTCTTGATGGAGTACCTGGACTTAGCCCAAACCTCAAGAGTAAGTTATAGCCAAATATTTTTGAGGTTGGTAATGAGATACCAAAGCTTTACTTTTTGAAGGAAAGAGCCCTGTCCCGAATTCCCCCGCACATGTGGGGCCGATGCTCCGGGGGCAGGGCTGGGTATGGCCGGGCTCTCCCCCAGGGGAACCCAGCACTCACAGATCTCACTGCAGAGCAAACATCTGGCCATTTCTGTGCTCACACACCCACAGCTCGGGGTTAATTGCCACAGATCGTGGCCTTCCCTACCCTAAATTCCTACTTGGCTCCTGAAGTCTCCCACTTCCCAGCAGCCTAGAAAGATGGTGTGACCTGCAAAGACTCTGTATTTGTGCGAAATCCTGAGAAAGGATAAGTGCCTTGAGATCTTCAGGCTCTGGTGCAAAGCAGCATTATAAAAATCTGCAGCTTCCCTGGGAGAATAGTCAATTAGCAGCCAGATGCCCCCCCCCAGCAAGGGAAAGGGTAAATTGCTTTGGTTTCCCCCTGGTACTTATGGTTAGTGCCAATCAGATCTGGGATGGTAAGAATAAAATATGATTGAAACTTCTGGCTCTTGCAAAAAGCGTATGTTTTAATTAAATTGAGAACTAGCTGGTTAATCAGCGCAAGGACTAATGGTCTGATTAGCAGGAAATGCCTGGTGAAAAATAGACCCTCTGTTCTGCCGGGCTGGGGGGAGATCCATGGGCTGGGGACACAGCCCAGAGCCGGGGGGGCTGTCAGGGCTTTGCAAAGGGCATCCAGGCTCCATGGGAGGACCCCCGGGAGCAGGCACATCCCCGACCCCCAAAAACGCCTCTGGTGGGGAGGCGAGCAGGGAAGGATGTCCTGCTCCCCCTCAAGCGTGTCCCTGATGAACGCCCAGCTGCTGAAAGCCTTTTCAGGGTTTCAGGGGATGAGGGGATGCCAGGGGGGCAAGTGAAACTTCTGGCCTCAATTACCTTTGAAAGGGAGAGTGTAAGGATGGGGGAGACAGGACTGCAAAATCAATTTGAAATTTACTGTGCCAAGCGGGTAGGAAAAGCCAAAACAACAACAAAAACAACAACAACAAAAAAAAAGCGCCCAGCACCATGCAAGAAATAAAGTTTTAAAATTAAAGAATCAATGGAGAAACGTCCTTCTGGCCACCCCTTCCCCCACAGTGCAAAGCACAGGCTTCCTTCTGATTAAAGCTCCGCCTGGAGCATTTTCGGTGGCAGGAGGCCAGGAGAAAGCTTAAGGTGCTCTCTGCAGTTTAAGGTGGAGCTGTGTCCTTCGCCTTCCCCAGCAGCATCAGGAGATGGCACGGCGGAGCAGCATCCTCGTGTTGACACGGTGTCACCCCGGGCACGGTGACACCCCAGACATGCCATGGGGGCCCTGCTTTGCACCCCAACCTGAGCAAGGTCAGGCTCCCTCTGGAAGAGGAGCCTCGCTGGGGTTTTGATCTGCTCTCAGCTGCCTGCCATGGCTTTCACCAAAAAATGAAACGGGGTGTGAGGTGAGAGGGAGGGGGTGCAGCAGTAAGACCTGCCCCACTGTTAGGAAGAAGTGTTTGGGATGGTCCTGCTGATGCTCTCACGCTGGGGTTTGCTCAGAGCGCTGGGATTCAGCCCCAAACCCTGCAGAAGCTTTGTCCATGGTGGTCCCCAACATCCCTGCTCTCACAAGGGCCAAACCCCCAGCACGGCCCCGCTGCTCCTGGGGATCAGCGCTGGGGCATGAACACCCCAAGAAACCCCTGGAGGAGGAGAGTTCTCACCTCTGTGTCAGAACAGGCTGGGGAGCAGGAAAGGGGAGCTGAGCCTGCCCCAACACAGAGGGGCTCCAGACACCGGGACCAGCACAAGCAGCCCATGCAGAGACCTGTCCCTGCTGCAGGGCCTACGGTGCCTGCTCCATGCCCTTCCCGTATGCAAGAGGATGCCTCAGTGAAAGGTCTGATGCACACCAGAAAGGCTTTATCCCACCCAGCATCCCCATCCTTGCCAGTGAGGGAAGGAGCTCTGGACAGCCTTGTCCCAGAACCACACGGGTGTCTCTCTCCAAAGACAACTGCAATTTTGGGAGAAGGCTCAGCTGGGGCTGCCTGTGGATTTGAGCTGCTCTTGGATCAGCCAAGCCCCTGGGGACTCCCCCCTGTCTCCACAGAAGGACAGAGGGGAGGGAGGTGCTTCTCCTGCTCTGGAAGGAAGCAACAGCGCCGTGAGGTTAAAAAATAACACACAGAGGTGATGCAAGTGCCAGCAGGATTTTCAAAATGGTCAATCCCAGCACTGAGCCCTCTAAACATGCACAGTGCCACCAAACCTTCAGTGTCACCCCCCCCCCAGTTAAAGGTGTCGTTCAGCATGTTGGCAGCATGGCAGTGTCTCCCATTTGAGGCTAAATACGTGAAATTAGACCTGGTCAGATCTGAACCAGGCTTTAAAATGGCACGTGCAGTTTTTAAATTGTGCCTGCTACAGAATACATTTTACAGAGATTTTTTTTTGAGATTGCATAGAGTAATATAATATTAATATAATAGAATCTTATAGAGATTTTGTTTTGTTTTTTTTTAACGTAATGTGAGGAACCAGGTGAAAAATGCTGTGCAGCTCTCAGAAAGCCCCAGATCCATCTGCATGGAGCCACCATTGAGACTGGAGAGCTGCCAAGTGCAGAATGTATAAATCATGAATCGAGCCCCCCCATTCCCCTCCCTAAATCACAATTGTTTTAAAAAGAAATAAAACATATTGGTTCTTTTAATTTGCCTTTTGGAGCCTGTGCCTGTAGGCACATTTTCCAGCTTTTCAAAAACACAAAGACTAGAAACTTCTCATTTCTCAGTGAAAGCTGAGCCTCACTTAATTACTTGCATCCAAGAGCCACAGCTTTATGAAAAATTCCAAATATCAGAAGATTGGTATTAAAATCACGGGGGCTGGCAATGCTGAGATTCCAGTCAGATGCAGGATATTCCTTTTATGGGTGTCCAAGAGGAGTAGGCACCAATGGGATGCTTTTCAAGAGTGACAAATATAATGAGTTTTGGTCAACTGACATAGAAGATAGACCCAATGTCTATGTTCCTTTGTCAGGTTTGTCCTTGTTTCACAGTGACACTCAGCCCTCACTGGCTTTTAGTCATGGTGTCAGTGGTAATGCACACAGGGATTTAACTGGGAACAGGGCAAAGGTGGCTGGCACTTGCACAAGGGTTTTGGCAGCCACAAAGCAAAGCACCTGGCAAGGGTGACTGGGAAACAGGGAGGTGCCAAGGGGAGTTTGGGGCTTAGAAAAGAAAAGCTGAGGCTCAGCCAGCTCTTCAGAGAAGCAGCCTGGTGAAATTATGTGGTATTTGAAACATCTTCAGGTCTCAACCTGCACCCCTATCAAAGCACTTCCATTCACCTGGGCTGCTCTCCAGGCTTTGGGTTTAACATTGCAGCCCTGACCCCAGGAAGCATCTTGGGATCTCAGAATCATTTAGGTGAAAAGACCTCCAGGATCATTGAGTCCAGCCATTACTCCAGCCCTGACAAGTCCATCATCATCTCCTTAAATGCCATCTATGTGGTTTTTTAACCTCTCCAGGGTTAGTGACTCTACCACTTTCTTTACCAGTCTGCTCCAATGCTTGAACACTCTTTCCATGAAGAAATTTCTTCTAATATCCCATCTAAACCTCCTCTGGCACACCTTGAGGACATTTCCCCTTGTCCCATTGCTTGTTACGTGGGAGAAGACCCACGTTACCCCTCACCTTACATCCTGTCCTGCCTTGGGGTTTCTCCTTGGGCTTTCAGTACTCTCTGTGGCAGCGTGGTTTCTTCTGGATTTCCTTCAGTGGCCATGTCCTCCCAGCCAGGCTTGGTGTCCCAGCAGCACAAGCACATTTCGTGTTGCTATTCATGGGAATGATGAGATAATGGCCTGAAATCTTGGTTCCTCTAACACAATTGAAAATGGAGCAAAACTGCAACTCTAAAAAGGAAGTCTAAATTAGGTTGCAGAAGAGAAAAGGATATTTGACAGCAGGAGCAGGCTCTGGAAATGCAGTCATTGTTTCTACTTATGGGTTTTGAAATGTAAATAATTTAACACCCAGCTAAGCAGAGGAAAATCTGCTATTTTTGGTTTATTCTGAACAAAGACAGCTGTGTATTCTAAAACATACAGTTCAGCATTAAAATAATAATAATACAGAAATAATGCTGTCGAGAATGTCTTTAGGTATTTACAACCCAGTGCCAGGGTCTGGGCTGGCTGTGCCTCACATTACACTGGAACATTTGCAGCGACCTCGAGTCTCACCAGGTCATCAGCATGAACCCATAAATAAATGACTTGGTTGGGCTAATTCTGAGGCTTCATTAAAAATTTCAGCGGAGGGATAAAAGCACAGGGAGAGGTTACAAAGGCAGCCCTCAGTGAGATGGCAGCCTGACTCAGCCAGGCTGATTCCCAGTTGGGTGATGGATCTGGAATCAGAGATGGATCCTGCTCTCATTAACGAGGTTCCCACGGCTGCAGCGAAGCACCAGCTCTGTTCAGTCCAAAGCAGCACGGAGAACTGGATTGCAATTCAAATCCTGGTCCCCATTAAAATAACAACAGCTGAAGCAGGCACACAGACGTGGTTCTGGGAGCCAAAGATGAAGCCTCTTCCTTCAGAAACCTTATCTGACTTTCTGTTTGGGAATTGGTGCAATTAGTCCTGGTTTGCTTTTCTGTCCTCTCAGCTCTCTCAAATACACATTTTTTTAATAACTTGCTGAAGAAAGGGTTAAAACCCTCCCAGCTGTATAAAACCTCCTGCAAATGTCACTGCCTTTCCAGCTGTGCTTGCTGCCTGCTGATAGACTCAGCAACAATTTGATGAGATTTTGGTGGGATTCGCTCCTGTTTTTCTGCTGGGTGAAACCAGATGTGATGATGAAACCCCATCCACTGCCACAACAAGAGTAACCACAATATTGGGAGTAGCTGCTGCCCTTCCTTCAGTGTTCACTTGGCCTGGCCACATGAGACTGGGAATATTGTGCTTAGACAGGAAATCTTTGTAGTTCAGAGATGTACTGCTGGGTCCCTCCTCCTGGTCCAGGCTCTGCAGAGAGAACACAGGGATCAGGGAGGAAATTTTCCCCAGCACAAGGGCTGAGTGCCCACAGTGAGCAAGGGCTGCAGCTTTGTGGGCACATCCACCTTCCAGCATTCCTGCAAAGGAGGGCAGGTCTCTCCTGGGGGTGCTGATCACTTCATCCCCATCCCATCCCCATCCCCAGCTGGTGATGGTGGTGCAATCTGGGCTCTCCCAACAACAAGGCTTCACAGGCCTGGCTGGGGAGGTGAAACCTGTGCTGGCACCTGCTCTGGCAGTGCCTCAGACATCTGGGCACAGCTGGGATGAGCCAGGTGGCATCTCCTCTGCCACGGATGGAAAGGTAGATGAAACTCCTTTAGAAATAAACAGGTATATCTTGGGTGGCCAGGGTTTCCTACACAGCACAGAAAATCTCCCTGCCATTGCCAGGCTGCCTGGCTGTAAACACATTGTCGAGCTGGAGGGCAAAACATAGTGGTGCTGATTCTTCTTGGAAAACCTGACTCTGGGTGTGGGGAGCACCTGGAAATCTTCCTCCCAGCCCTTATGTCAGTCCAGCCTCACTGGAGCTGCTGAGGCTCATTGAAATTCAGGGGGAGTCTTCCCATTGAGCTTTGAATAAGGTCATTTTTCTCTTCAATGTTCTTTTCTTTTTTCTTCTTTTTCTTTTTTTTTTTAAACCTATGCTCAGTCTGGGGGAAAATGTATTTAAGCACAGAAGGGCTGCATTTGCAGCCGCGCTGCTGCTGTCTCCCCAGCAGCCATGTGGCTCTGGGAGAGGCTCCATTCCCACAGGGAGCCTGTCAGAGGGGATAACCTCCAGTGCAAAGCTCCTCAAGCACATTTCACCTCGCTCCAAACACACCCAGACCTTGTGGGTCCAGCTGGGCTGATGTGGAATCAAATGCTGCTTGGGATGAGCTTGTTTTGCGTGTAAGAGATAGTGAGGGGAAGAGGTGGGCTGATGTGTCTAGGATAAGGTTTTTCTTGGTTTGGGGGTTGGTCTGGCTCCTTTCAGTGCATGCTTTTTATCTGTGTACCAAAATAGTAAGTTAAGAGTTATATAAAACATGTTATCCAGGGGATTTGGAGCACCTCTCAAAAAAGAGTGGTTATTCCCAATTTACAGATGGAAATGAGACTTACCCAGCGCTGCACACAGCGGTGGTGACTGAGCTGAGACTGTCCCCAGATGTGCTTGGTTCTCTCTCCTCAGGGCCACCACACCTGTGCTATTCAGTCAGCACAAACCACAAAATCAGACCTCCTTTGATCCCAGACCATCTCCCCTTCCACTTGACTCCAGGCATAAAAGGGGCCAGCAATTAATGCCCATCAGCCATACTCCAAAATGTCTGATTTTTGGGATAAAAGTCCTTTTTGCCACTAATTTTCCCTGACTTCCCTGAGATTGGAAAGGGTGAAAGGTCCATGGAGAAGCCACAAAGCAAAAAACTTCACCATTTCTCCCCCAGCCCTCTTGGCAGCTTTATCAGCCTTGCCTGCTTTGCCCTGGGAGATCTTTGGGCTAAACAGGCAAGCTTTGAGTGCTTTCTATTTCATCCCCTTTCCTGCTGAGCATCCCTGCACCTCCCATCCCTCCCTAGCACCGAGACTGCCAACACAAAGGTGGGTGAGTGAGGAACAACGAGTGCTCCAGATATGAAGCAGATGGGATTGAGGAGTCTGGTACAAATTGTGTCTTTTTTAATTCATTGAAACTCTCGTAATCCTCCCATCCCCCCAAGATTTCTCCCCGCACGCTTCATTAGAGAGCTGAAAATGAAGCTGCTCCTTTGGAATCCAGGATTTTGTGGTATCAGCCATAGGTGTGACTTTGCCCCACGTTATTAATAAAGGTGGTGAATATAGCAAATGGTTTCCTGTCAATGTGGGCTTGGATGCTGGAATTATTTCACTGGGTGAATTCCTCTCCTTTCTTCATGCTCCACCTTTCTTTGAGTGTTCATAGAGTGCATCAACCGGAATTAATGTCTGCAAAAATTGACTTTTGTAACGGGATGAAAATCAATAGAAATTTTCAGTTTCTCTTTTCAGGCTGAATCAGATGAACATTTTGAGCCAAAGTACCAGAATGTGTCACGGGTTGAAGAGAAATGGTCAATGAAAATTATCCAAAATCCATGTTTTGACATTTTCCATTGTAGTGAACTTATCAGGTCTTGCTAAATCTTGTTTCCTTTGACTATGAATCACAACACATAAGATTTCATTTCCAGTTACTTCTATAATGAATGTGTGTAGGGTCCTACAGGGCTTTTCAGGCTGCTGGCAGCTGAATGCATTTGCTCCCCTTTTCCCTGCAGGATAAATTCCTTGGTTTTCCTATTTTTGGTAATAAGACTTGCATAATACACCACAGGCTGGAGGGTCTTTTTGACTTATGCGAGATTTCCACAGAATAAAATTATAGATTTTGCAGTAGCTTATTTTGCTAAAAAAATGTATTTTTATGGAAAATTCCCAAGTTGCTCCTGAGCTGTGATATTCACAGAAACGCAAATTGGGGTTCATGGAATGTACTTTTAAAGCATATACCGATTTTTATTGATTTCAGCCACATTTTGACACCTGAGCCAGGAGGTAAATCTCAAATCCTGTGATCTATATTGATTAACCATCTAGCTCAAAAAAGTAACACTGAAAAACCAGACTCAATCATGAGCATAATGAGTTAAAAACATTTCAGATAATACCCAGCTCTGGTGAAGTAACAACCTGCTTGCAGAGACTCCACAAGGAGAAAGAAAATCTAAATTCATTGGATAAATTATTTGTTGCAAATTATTTCTTCAGCTCTAATTAGTAATCTTCATTTTACACAGTAGGCCTCTAATGACCTGCTTGACAACTATGATGTCTGATAGACAGTGGGGATTTGCATGAAAATGAGTTTTGTTTTCTCCCATCCCAGCCATAAAATGACAACGGCGAGGCAGCTCGGCTTTACTGTGCAAAAAGGGAATACCCAGGCACCCAAGCTCTGGGTAAGAGAAGATAATTCTGCTATATTTTGGGAAATAGAAGGGAAGAAACCCAGGAAGCACTAATTCAAACAAAACCAGGAGGCACTAATTCAAACAAAAAAATAATAGCACCCCGCATACAAAGACTAATCAGATGCGGTTGCTAAGCGGAGTCATGTGAAGAGCAGATGATGGAGCAAAAGCAGAAGATCCTGCTCTCAATAAAAACGTGGTGACCCAGCTCTGAAAGGTCTTGCACTGCTGTTTTCTGGGATTGAATAATCCTTTGCCTTTTTATGGCAAGGGTTTTGAAATGTTGGACATATTTCAGGAGCATTATCATCTCCTGTCTGCTGAAAATTGACAAGATTTGGATCTTTCTCTGGCTTGTGTATCTTGAGCCCAGACAGATTCAGGCAGAAGATGATCTCTTGCCAGTCACGAGCAGCTCAAATAAGGTTAAAACAGAGCAAGAGAAAAACCAGGGTAAGGCAACAAAGCTGATGCCCCTCCTGGAGCTCCAAGGATTTCTTTCTCTGGGATTTGCAGTATTTTTTTTTGTTATTTCAGCAATGTTATTCCCAGCCCAGTTCAGCACATCTTGTGCTTTGACAGCTCACTGCACCTGGAAATTATTATTTGATAAAAACTGGCAACCTCTCTCATTTTGAAAGGGTTTTTTTTTTGAAATGGGACTTTATTCTTACCTGCCTCCTGAATTTCTGTTGGTGTAAAAGGATGTTGATGTAAAGTGGTGTGAGAAGCACTGCAATCCTGCCTGCACAACATTCATTCAGAGCCCTGATCTGGGGGTGCAGGCAGGGAAAAGGTTGATGGGTTGTATTTTGGCAAGTAGGCACTTGCACATACATAGTCTGTCA